AGGGTTCGAATCCCGATCCTGCATGTTTCTGCAAAATGACTCTATCCTTTTACCTCCTCCTTCTAGGCTGCTTGCAACTAACCCGCTTGCCTGTGCTGAGCTGTGGGATTAGAGGCATGTGCCACTGTGTCTGACTAGAGAGGTCATTCATTTATATGAACGTATATATGTATACATTAAGTATTACACATTTTTATGACAGGGTCTCAGTGTAGCCCTGGCTGGTCAGCTCACACAGGTCTGCGGGCCTGTCTTCCAAACACTGGGATTAATGGCATACACCACCATGTTTGCTTCCTTCCCAAATGAGTTGCACTTATTTATCTGTGGTGGTGCATATGTCAAGGCACACGGCGAGGTCAGAGGGTAACTAGTAAACTAGAGTTGGCTCTCCTTCCACAATGAAGCCTGAGATGTCAGGTACTCAGGCTTGGTGGCAGTTGCCTCTACTCACTGAGCCATCTTGCCAGATCTCTAAAAATGTTTTAAGTTATTTATTATTTTATGTGTACGGGTATTTTGCCAGCATGATTGTTTGTGTACCATCTCCATGCTTGGTGCCTGAGGAGGCCAGAAGACGGCATCCTGAAGAGGAAACGAGCTAAAGATGGTTGTGAACTGCCCTGTGGGTGCTGGAGATTGAACCTGTGTTCTCGAAAGAAGCAACAAGAGCACTGGGTGGTGTTGGCAGACACCTTTAATCCCCTTATGATTTTTCTTACATCCTTAGGTTGACTTCATTTTCTCTTTCTTCCCTCTCTCCATTTCCTTCCTTTCTGTCTTTTCTCCTCCCCATTCTTTCATTGTGCAATCCACGCTAGCACTGGACTCGGCATCCTCCCGCCAAGTAGGGCATCTTGCTGGCATCAATCTCCCCATCTCTTGTATTTTAACAACAATTTCCTCTACTCTGAGGCTCCTAATAGACCCCTAACTAAGTGTCCTGTCTCCCTGCCCTCAATAAAGAAAGATACCATACTGGTCCTGGGCACAATGGTCCCTAGCATATGGGGTTCAGTCAGTCAATGGATTGAACGCTGAGTGATCCTTCATATTTGTCTTTCAGATCCTGAGGGCCAGTTCTGCTCCCCAGGGTCTCTTTCTGCAGATGGGTGGAAGCTTCCTCTGGAAACTACGCACTCTGAATCTCAAATGGTTCCCCTTCCCATTTTACTCCCCAACATCATCTTGGGCTCAGGCTCCCCCCCCAAAAAAAAAAAAAACAAACAAAACTTTCAGTGAAGGGAGGGACACTCACCTCACCTCAAGGCTTAGCATGTTGTCTCTCCCAGGAGCCTGCACCCAGTAACCCCTTCCTAGCTTCCTAGCTTTTCACCTGTTTACTTCTCCAACCCATCTAGCTTTCTGATTTTACTCCTCCCCTTACAGCATCATCACCAACTGGTCTTTTTCATTATCTCTAAAGTTTTCTCTTTCTCCTGTCTCTGTCTCCATCCATTCCATCTTCCTGCCTCCTATTGCTGCCTCCTCAGTCTCCTGGTCCTTTAGTCCTTTTCTGACTCCAGAGGTTTCTTCTCTCTGTCGGTATCGGGGCACAGGGGGCTGTGTAGGCCCTGCTGTAGCCCAGGGCTGGCAGACGCTTTCTAGTCTGAAACAGCCCTTTCTTTTCTTGGCCCTGGAGTGTCCTCAGTTTTGGGGAATTGAGGAGGACCTTGCTAGGCAGGGAGAGGTATGGTGGGAGATCCTGGGTCTGGGCTGTGGAATCTGTCTCTGGGAAGTGACCACATGGACTTTTTGCTCTTGTTCTGTCTCTGAGTGGTTTGACTGATATGAAAATGTGACTTTGTGAGAGAAAAACAGAATCTGTAGTGGGATGTGTGAGAATTGGCTGTGCTGTGCAGTGTGTGTGCCATGCAGTGTGTGTACTCTGCAGTGTGTACTGTGCAGTGTGCCTGCTGGCCTACATGGCTCTAAGGCAAGTGCTTCTACACAGGCCCAAGCTGTTTTCTTTTTAAGGTTTGCAATAGTACAGGAGTGTGAGAAGTTTCATCCTTTCTTCTCTTTTTCTTTCTTTCTTTCTTTTTTTTTTTTTTAAGACAGGGTCTCACTCACTATATAGACCAGACTAGCCTGGAACACACAGAGATCCACCTGACTCAGACTCCTGAGTGCTGAGATAAAAGGCTTGTGCCACCACACCCAGTGAATAGTTAATGGTTTGAATGAGGCTCATATATTTGAATGTTTGGTACCCAGTTGATCGAACAGTTTGGGAAGGAATAGGAGGTGTGGTCTTGTTGGAGGAGGTGTGTCACTGGGCCTAGGCTTCAAAGTTTCAAAAGGCCCAGTGTCTTTCTCTGCCTCCTGCTTGTGAATCAAATGTAATGATTATGTCTCCCTGCCTGCTGCCATGCACCCTGCCATGCTGGTCAAGGACTCACCCTTTGAAACTATAGGCAAGCCCCAATTAAATGCTTTCTTATGTAAATTGCCTATGGTGTCTCTTCATAGAGGTAGAATAGTAACTAAGACAAAGATCTGAAACAGCCTCAGATATCTTAGAAACTCCCTGCAGATACCGATAAGAGCACCGGGAACTCCCTGCAAATACTGGTAAGAGCACCTTGCCTGACAAGAAAGCCTACATAGTAATGAGAACATCTGCAGTCAGGAGCCAGGAGAAACCTGACCAGGTCAGCATATGATAAAAACATCTGCTGGCATGGCTCAGCCCTGAGACTACAAACACACAGATAAAATTTCCATCTCTTCTCTGCCCTCTGCACCTTGGCACACAGTCTCCACTTCTGCAGTAAAGGACAGCGTGCTTCTGTTGGGGTCAGTCTTCTTTGTTTTATTTCACGTTGCCTCCATCAATCCTGAACTAACACCCACCAACCCCACCCCCTTTTTAGATAGGGGCTCACTGGATGGCTTGGAACTCACAGAGATCCAACTGCCTCTACCTCCCAAGCAAACAGATTAAGCATGTGCCACCACATATTGAGATTTTGTTTTCTTCTTGAAGTACTGGGCACCAACTCAGCACCTTACACGTGATCTACAACTGAGCCATGGCCCAGGCCCTCCATGGGGAATTCTAGGCAGGGGTTCTATAATTGAGTCACACCCCTAGCCTGGCTGCTAGGGTTAAATCAGCAACACCAAGCAGGTTGCTCACTGATACCAGTCATTGTCATTTCAGTTATGTCATAGTTGTCTGAGTCTAGATCCCACACGTCTACCAGGGTACAGGGCCTCCCATGCTCTGTGAGCTTCTGAGAAAAGGGAAGAAACTCAGGGAGGGCAGTGGCCTCTGTTATCACACTCTGGAGGCCTGGGCAAGGGGATCTGGCTTTTCTGCCTGGATTCTCACACTAGAAATACTAAATATTTACACTTGCTGTACTCCCAGGCTCGGGGGATGGGTGGTTCGGTTCTGTCCCTTCAGCCTTCTTTATCCAGACAGCTCAGAGACCCTCTCAATCCTTCAGGTCTCACTCAGATTTTGTGGGCTTGCTGCAAACCTCACTGGAGTCAGCATCTGGGTCGTGAGAGGTGAGAGTGGGGTAGAAGTGGTGGTAGCTGTTTGTCTAGAGACTCCTGGTTTTGATTTGGATATGGGGGGGGCGGGTAGGGTTCCAAGGCCTCTTGTTTAACTCTAGGCTTGCCTGAGAAGGCAGCCACATGGGCCAAAGAGAAAAACCCTGCTTGGTGCTTGGAAGCTCCTGCATGATGGGGGGTTGCTGCAGCTAACACACCCAGGGTCTAGCTCAGAGAGCTCCATGGTTGCCTGCGCTTCAGAGTAGAGTCCTTTGACTCAGTGCTCTCCGTGTTCCTGCTCACTCTTCTCTTCTATGCCACCCTCACAGGCCTCCTTGCTATTTGTCCTTTTCAGTACATCTGAAATGAGATCCAACCCCAGGACCTTTGCACTCATGCTTGCTTCTGAGTAGGTGCGAGTGTGTGACACGGGTGTGGGAGTGGTGGCATGGGGACCTGGGTGTGGGTTCTGCAGGGCCAGAATGGGGAATCCATGAATATTAACCTGGTTGAAGACACTATATGGAGCGTGTCACCGTGGAACACACCAGCCATCTAGCGATGGAGAGGCCCAGGTAGTGGGTAGGATACCAAGTTCTGAACCAGTCTGAGTTACATAGTGATACCTGTCTCAAATTAGAAATGAGTGGCTCAATATGAGCAAGACCTAGATCCCCAGTAACCGCCCCCTCCCCCAACACACACAGCAGAGGTTTTCTCCTGAGGTGGGAGCCACCGAGGGTTCTGAGGGGAGAGTGGTGATCGGGTCCAGGTTTCCAGGTGGCAAGGGATTCTGGGTGTACACAGATGCTGCTTGCCGGATCAGCCATGATAAAAGGAGAATCTGCGCTGTCAGCTGCAGCTCAGCTGTGCCGCAGAGCACTACCGCGGGAGGTGACGCTCGGGGATGAAGACTTCACAGTTCTCCCTGGGTCCTGGGAGCTTTGGGACCAGTGTGAGCTGAGACAGACAGTAGCCTCCTCCTCCCTCTCCTCTGCAGGTGGCCATGGGGGGTGTCGTGTTGCGCACGCTGCAGCTGCTGCTCCTGCTGGCCGCCTGGCGGGCACGTGGAGGTGCCGCGCGATGCCGCGTCACGCTGGTACTGTCCCCGCAGAAGGC